CGAGTGTCTGCTCCTCTGTCCTAACGCAGTAGGGCTGGGATCACTTGCCAATGTCAGTTTGTATAATAGGTGTGGTTACTGCATCGGACAAGCTCTGTGAAAAAGAGAAAGATTGCAGAGTTGGCTTCCTCTCAAGCGTCTGCGTCTGATTCACAGACATCTGTGTCTCCCTGAGAAAGAACTTTCACAAGCAGAGCTGTCCAACAAAGAAATAAGCCACTTCCTATGGGAGTGAGCTCCTCCGAATGGGAAGTGGCCGGGCAGAGCCATTTCTCGGGGCTGTGGGAAAGGCACTCCAGCACCATGACAGGGAGGGCGAGCCTTCCTGGGAGTTGAGGATGCTGCATTGGTGAGGGAGGCAGCCTCGGGTCACACACGCTTGCTGTGAAGTGACACCCAGTGAGGGTCTGCTATTCCACAGTGAGCTGTTTGGAGAAGCGAGGCTTTGGGTAGGTTTCACAGGAGGCTCCCATGGAAGACATTTGGGTTGGCCTTCGCAATAAGCCTCTACAGAAGCACCTCTAAGGCTCAGGTCATGAGGTCAAGCTACAGAGCAGAGCACGGTGGGCTGGCAGCCCAGAGCAAGTCTAAGTGGCATTTTAGACCCTTTAGGACAAGCATGGCATGGGAGCGCCTCCCCCCAGCCTCGAGTTTGACGTGCTTGCTTCAGGCAGAAAGATGCTCTGTCCCCACACTGTCTGACATCATTATTCAATGGCTGCCCAGCCAGCTCTGGGCTCTTGAGTGGGTCTCCGCTCCTCTCCTGCCCGTCCTCTCAGAACCAACTCTGGTCCAGCCCCCGAACCTGGAGGAGGGCGTCATTCTTCAGCTCTGCGTGCTGCCTGTTCCTCTGGAGGAAATCACACTCAAGTGCTCAGCGCGAGAACCCCAAGCTCTTCCTGGAGGGCTTCGGCGCAGGTCTGGGGCCCTGCTTGGGAAAGCAGCGAGTGCCGAACAGCAAATGTTCCCCCGAAAACGTGCTTTTGCTTCCCGGGCAGGGGAATTTCCTGGGGCGGGAGAGCGGCGCGGGCTTTCTTCTGGAGCGCAGCGTTCTGGTGAGGTCCATGTGTGAGCATACCGCGGCAACCACAGCGGAATGCGCCACAGGAAGTGTCCCAGCTGCTGTCTATTAGCATTAGAACAAATTACACAAAGCAAATTGTTAGCAGACATGTTTCCGTAATATTTAACTGGCGGCAATAAATAAGAGCGATTCTCTTTCAAGTAAATGCTGCGTTTCCAAAACTCCAGCTTCCAACTGTCCGTGAAGGACTCATCTCCGAGGAGGAGGGAGGACACCCCGGGAGCCTGCACAGCGGGAGTCAGGCCGGAAGCTCAGGTGCTGGTGCGGGTGTGGCCGCGGGACTGACGTCACAGGGCGCCCCCAGGAACGGGCGCGCCTCTGGGCGTCCCACCACCTGCTGGGTGCAGCGCCGGGGCCTCGGCACGTCTTCTCCTGCCACAGGCAAACGCACGAGACAAGGCAGCTCTGCTCGGTGCTTGGAGTGTGTTTATGATCCACACCCACGGGCAGGTTTTCGCCCTTCTCCTTAACAAAAGATTGCATTTTAAAGAATGTATCTACTCCTTCACCATCCCATGTTCTGTTATCTGAGATTTCTTTTTTAATGAGACCCCATCGGAGAAGAGTTGAAAAAGTGTCCCATCAGAACAAACATCGAACAGCACCGCCTTCTGCTCGCACACACGGAAACCTGGCTGTTTCTTTAGAAAGAAAACATAATTTTTCATCTTTCAAGACCTACTGACAATGACTAAATTCCAGTTCCTAGTCACCTCTGAGCATTTCCAACTATCTTCAGATATATGACAAAATTCTCCTAAAGCAATCTCAAAAAAAACAATTTAAAAAATAATTTTAATATTTAAAAAGAAATATTTCATACAGAATGTAAATACAAAAAATAGGTTATTGCAGCTTCCAGGGCTGGGGACTGTTAGAAGAGGTGCCCTCTTCTGGTTTTCCTAAGAAATTTATGGTTTGTCTCCCCTCCCTCACCGATTTCCTTTTCAAGCAAAGCCAACCTCAGCTCGGCACTCCATGTATTTCAATATCATACTTGGTTCTCCGGAGGGGCCCTTCCCTCCTTTTTCTACCGGAAGGAAAAAAGCTTGGCAGCCCTGCTGAAGGGAAATGCCAGGAGCCAGTGTCCACGCTGGCGGGCAGTGAACAAGATGCTGGAGAATATTGCTTTTTGCCTACAGGTCTCCCTGGCTGGGCCTCTCCTCTGAGTCACAGTGAGCCTCAGTCATCTCCGCGTTGGGTAGGCCCAGAAGCCCCCAGCTGCCTCCAGGGCGCTCCCTGCTGGCGATAGAAGGTAAGCATGTTCTGCCTCCATGTTACAAAGCTGGGGACACAAATTTAACCAAACACATGTAGTAGCTGACACACTCCCAGCCACTTCCTAAGGCTCTTCCAACTACAGTGTCAGGACACCCACCCACACACACACTCTCTCTCTCTCTCTCTCTCTCTCTCTCTCTCTCTCTCTCTCTCCCCTCACGTCTTTTACCTGAAGTCTTCACCAAAGGAATAATGTGCTTCATAAAATATTTAAAACACCTTAGGCAATAGCATTGTGTCTAGATTTTTTAAAAAGTGTTTAAAGAAAAGTATAATTGAAAATACTTGGAACAGGAACACACACTCTCTCTAATTTGGAAATACGCAAACTATAGCGTTATTCGTCACAACCTGAAGCAAAGCTATGACAGTGGCATAACAACTACAACATCTGTGCAAGTGTGGGGTCCCCAAATAAGCTCACATTTAGACAAGAGCGACGCACACGGCCTGACTCTTTAAGGTCTGTTTAGAGGAAATGGCCTGGCATGTTTTACATTTGCTAAGCTATTTGGCTGCCTGGTTTGACAAGATTTTTGAAAGGGGTGAAAATTAATTATTATTGCAGTGCTGCTACAATGATTTGGTCGGCTGAGTGCATTCCAGTGCAAAAACAGGCAAGGGAGAATTTCCTCCCCGGGCTATTCTCTGATATGGCAGCATTCGTTTTAAGAGTAATGAAATTTTTAAAAAGTCAAACCTTAAATACCATGGCTTCAGCAATCTGTCCTGCTTAAAGTTTAATGCGAAATGAGATAGCACCTCCATGAGAACAGTTACATGTGAACATGGATCCAGTTTTCTCCTAGACTTGAGATGGAAACATCTCCCACCCCTGAAAACTACCCAAAGTCTCTCTTTGACATTGTTTGGGGATGATTTCAATCTGGGGGCACAGTGCTTGTGTTTTTGTAGTGAGGGAGGTGCTAGTGAGGGTGGGTGGGAAGTTGTGAAAGTCTCTAAATGAGGTATATGTTGATGGAAGAGGCACCATGAGTTTCAGAGGGTTGAGCAGAAACAGTGGAGAAACATGGGTTGTTGTGAGGTTTCCGGACTCTCACAGCATGGCATGGAGTATTTCTCATGATCTTCATCTAATTCTAACCAATTTCTAAAGAATCAATTTACAAAGCTACCCAGGGCTGCCTTGGGGTTCGTGCAGGCCATGTCCTGCACAGGGGCACTGGTTGAGGGGTGAGGGGGCTGAAATCCCAGCCTGTTCCACTCTCCAGCCGAGATTCCTGCTCAGGCTGCCTCCCGGAGGTGGGCGTGCCTTTTCTAATGTATATTTGGGCCAAGAGAAACCCTGAGGTTCTTTTTGATCCTCACCCTTCAGATTGCAAAGTCTGGTCTTCATCTCCTCACCTCCAACTACGGATTTTTTTTTTTTTAAGAAAGTGGATATGCCCCTGGCAAAGGTGAATTCATTTTGAAGATATGTTTTCTGTTCGGTGAAAGAGGAAGGAAAAAAAGAGAGAGGGAAAAGGATAAGAAGAAGAATGAAGACAAAGTTGTCCTTCTGCCTAGGAAATTGTGGATGCATCGTCCTTCCCTGGACACAGCTGCAAAGGGACAGAAAATCAATTTTTTTCTATTACTCCACAGCGAAGAAGGAAAACCTCTCTGTAAATTGCATTAAACCCAATAATAGCATGTCTGCGTATTTGTTAAGGACTAGAAAAAGTAGCAACGATACAACTCCATAATCCAGCAATGTAACTAGCAATCAACACTCCCATTTCAAAGTTTAGATGAGACATTCTTCTTCTTTTTTAAAGAAACACCCATGGCTAAATGTCACTAAGACTGTTTGGCGGGCCAACGTATCGACACCTCAGTAAGGATTCTGGAAGAGAAGAAACTCCAAAGCCCCATCTGGGAAGAATGAACTTCCAATTTCTTGCTTTTGCTGCTGTGCATCAGTCCGTAATAATGATTGGCTAAGAACTAGAACCTTCTAGAAGATGGTTTCTTTCCAATTATCTTTGGGAGGTAATTAGGTCTTCCCAAGTTTGTAATCTGTGGTGCCGACCTTGGAATAAATTCCCTATATGTTGATGGAAAAGGCACCATGAGTTTCAGAGGGTTGAGCAGAAACAGTGGAGAAACATGGGTTGTGTAGGCTAGATCTTGTTCACGGAAGCCCTAACCCTCCTGCTGAGGACAGAATTATCCGCCTGCAGGAGTGAGGGTCCTGAAATCTCATTAGCAGTCTGCCCTCTAGTGGGATAACACAGTACTTCAGATCACTGGGAATAGAAAAGGTTTTTTTCTCTCCTCTTTCAGAGAGCAAACGAATTCAAGTTTTCCAGATAGTGCAAGGGGAGGCATTTATCTTCAAAGACACCTTCCAGCGCTGAATCAAGCAAGGCTCACAATGATAGGTCCCTGGGTCACAGTCAAAGACAGGTGGTGCTGTGGTGGGCGTGGCCACAAGGCCTGCAGAGCAAGACCAAGGTTCTTTTCACACCCATGGAACCCTCCAGGGTTCTCCTTGGGTGATAGCACTCAGTTCCCCACTCTCTCATTGTCCAAATAGGACCCACTCTGATGGCAACCAACCTCTTAGGAATGTTACAGATCATAGGCATTTTTGTAATTTTTTGGCAAATCATTAACACAAAAGAGCCTTTGAAATGGGCCAGGTTGACTTTTTAAAAAGGCAAAGAGTTTTGTAAAAAGACCCCGTCTTTGTGCCTGTTGTTTTGAAGAAGGGAATCTGTTTTTCCATGGTGGCTGGATGTTGGTAAGGCAGAGATGATCTTGAGATCTGCTGGCTGGATTTTGCTTCTAGCTTCTAAAAACCTTCAAAACTTGGCCTGCTTCAGTTTGTCAATATGGTAGCAGAGTTTCAGCGCAGGTCCCAGCTTCAGGCCCAAGTATTTCATAATCATGTCACTCTTCAGCAGCAAGAGAGCATTGCCGTCAATCTCCTGGTGGGACAGGATCAGAACAAAGGAAACCCAGAAGATGGTCAGAGTGATCAAATGGTGGCCAAAGTTAAAGTGTGGTCAGGGGGTGAGGTAAGGGAATGTGGATGCAGTTAGGACGTGTTCTTAGTCGCAACGCAATATCTTCTTTAAAAGATAGAGCAAAAATGTTATATGCTCCTCTCCCTGGGGTAATTTAATACAATGGATCTTTCATATTCCTACTTCATCAGGATTGAAGGAATTAAACATAACTCCAGCATGGTCCCAATATCTCACATATGATGTCTTTCTCTTCACCCAATCTAGGGCTAAATGAGCAAGAAGTGAGCAATGGACTGAGTGTCCCCTGACCACCTCCCCATTCATAGGTTGAAATCCTAACCTCCAATAGGTGGTTACTTTGGGGGTAATTAGGTTACGATGGTAAAGCCCTCATGAATGGGATTAGTGTCCTTATACAATGAGAAGATGACAATCTGCAACCTGGGAAGGGGCTTTCACCAGATGAAGACCAGGCTGATCTCGGACTTCTGGTCTCCAGCACTGAGAAGTGAATTGCTGTTGTTCACAGCCAGCGGCTATGGTACTTTGTTAGAGCAGCCCGAGCTAAGACAAAGTGTCATCCCTTAGACCCTGGAACTAGTGGTTCCCTTCCCACTAGTTTCTCCTGAGCCATGGATTCTCCTGAGAGCCTCAGAAAGAATGTCAGCCCTGCCGGCACCTTGACCTCAGCGCAGTGAGACCCCTGCCAGGTGCTGGTATAAGGCCCTGACTTCCATCCACCACTCTAATCTCTTGTTTCTTTTCTGGGTAAGCCCACCTACCTTTAGCTGATCACCAGATTGCTAATTACACCCTATGAGAGCATTCAAGTGTTTTTTGGCCCTGTCAGTAATGCTGGGTGGCATACCACTAAATAATGCACCTGCTTCATCTCACGGTATAGCACAAAGAACTACCAAGGAAATGCCAATCCCTTGAGGTCCTGGCATTGCTCCCATTTGTCTCTGAAAATGGTAACCCTTCAGAATGCGTGTTGAACTCATGGACCTAGTAGGGCTGGGCTTCCTCGTTAAACATTAGTGCTATTTTCAGGGCACTTGAAATAAAGTGTAGAAATGTGGGGCACTTGGCTGGGAAGGAGGCACAATTACAGGACTCATATAACTGCAAGGGTCACCAGTCCTTCTCCTTCATCTACACTCCAGTTGCTGATGAGGTGCTGACTCTGTGTCACTCTCCATGTCCTTGGCACAATGCAGAGTGGGCCAATCTCATCGTGGGCCCTCCCAGGGGCCTCATTGCCTAAAGTCTCTCTTTACCCCACCCCCTAGACTTTCACCGTCTCCCACCGCTCTGGACCACAGCCAGGCTCCTCCCACCCAGCTCTGTCTAAACATAACCCACCCTGTGGTCCTTGCCCATAAGGCCCACTGCTAGGTGAGGTCCAATATATCCCTAATAAATGTCAGTGTCAGGTTAGATAAAGATCCTCCCCAGATCTGAGAGGATGATTTCTCAACAGAAACACCAAATAAAATGAGAGACAGGCAGGGGAAATTAATAGTAACTGTAGTTGGCAGAAGAATGCTCCCTCTTCTCGCTCCAAGACATCTATGTCCTAATCCCTGAAACCTATGAACATGCTAGGTTACCTGGCGAAGGGGAAGTATGTTTGCAGAAGGAACTAAGGCTGCCCATCAGCTGACTTTATAACAGGGAGAGTATCCTGGGTCAGTGGGGAGTGGAGAGCAATGTAATCACAGGGCCCTTTATTGTGGAAGAAAGGAAGAACAGAAGAGTCAGCAGCCTGAGGAGGACCCTGCTTAATGTTATATCTTTGAGGGTGAGGATGAGGGGATATGAGCCAAGAAATGAGGGTAGACAGATGCTGGAAAAAACATGCAAATGGATTCTCCTGAGAGCCTCCAGAAAGAATGTCAGTCCTGCTGGCACCTTGACCTCACTGCCAGACCCCTGCCAGATTTCTGACCCAGTGGACTGTAAAGTGATAAATTTGTGTTGTTCTTGGTTGGGCGAGCTAGGAGAGGGTAAAGGGGGTCAAATATCTGGCAACAAAAGAAGACTTGACTTTGGGTGATGAACACACAATACAATACACAGATGATGTATTATGGAATTGTACACTGAGACCTATATAACTTTATTAACCAGTAAATTAAAATTTTTAAAGTGTTGTAAGCTACTACATTTGCGGTAATTGAGTATAACAGCAATAGAAAACTGACATAGTAAGCTTGGTAGGTAAAGTATGAATTCTTATCTTTTTTTTTTTTCATTTACCACCTGTACATATTTCAGGATCTCCTAAATGATGATATGAATGCCTGCTAACTGAAGGCTACCTACAAACCAGGCACCATGCTGAACACTCGGGTGCATCTTCTCACTTAATCCTCAAACAGTTTAGGACTAGGCACTAACAGTTTGCCTGGCATATCGTAGGTATACTATAGATGTTTGTTGAATGCACAAACGGGTGGATGGATGGATGGATGAATGGATGGATGAATGGGCAGGAAACAGGCACTCCTGTTAAAGCACAAATTGAAGGAACAGATGGGACAAATATCCCTCTAAAACAAACTAAGTGGTGATTGTGCTCTGAGAAGAACTGGCCTCCTTGAGTGGTGCCCCCAGAGCTTAGTTCAGAACCGCCCCCAGCCCCCAGCTCCCTGAACCTCCCCTTTCTCCCATGCCTCCCTCCCCCCCCCCCCCCGCAACCTCCCCCGGGCCAGGCCCACCACACACATACATGCTTTCTGAAGAGCTCCACGTGAGGCCCCAGAGCCTGCGGGTCAGCGTCTTTCACGAACCGGACCACGTCCTCCACGGTCCAGGTGGACGGGTTCCTGCTCCTTGGCCGCCTGCCGTCCTGCCCGTCTGGAGAAGGGCTTGAGGCTGGATGGGTGAGCATGGAGAGCAAGACCATTAGACACCAGGACAAGGGCCTGAGCCCCTACCTGTGCTGCCTGCTCACACCTGGCCCTCAAGTCCAAGGTGCTGGCCTGAGTGACCTCCTGTGACAGAGAAAGGCTGTGAGTGGCCGCACCCTGGTTATGACCCAGTGTCCCTCCAGCTTCCCTCGTCCACCTTTAGCTGGGGCTTTGGCTTCTGTCCAGGAGACATTTACCCTCCCTCCTTCCCACGGAGGCTCCACCAGCATCAGAGCCCAGGGAGACCCCTTCCCGGGCAGCATGTCTGTGTCCTACCATCTGAATGCCACCTGCCTTCACCTTTAACCCCCAAATCTTCGTTTGTTCTTCTCTTAAGATGCTTTTCAGCCTGGCCAGCGTGGCTCAGTGATTGAGCATCAACCTATGAACCAAGAGGTTTGATTCCCGGTCAGGGCATGTGCCTGGGTTGCTGGCCCGATCCCCAGTGTGGGGCACGCAGGAGGCAGCCGATCAATGATTCTTTCTCATCATTGATGTTTCTATCTCTCTTTCCCTCTCCCTTCCTCTCTGAAATGAATAAAAATATTTATTTTTTTAAAAGATGCTTTCCATTTTGCCTCGCATTACAATTATGCACGTACTTGTCTGCAACCTCCAGTTATATTTTAATTCTTGAGGATGATCTTTTTCACCTTCCCCTCCCGCGGGCACATCCCCAGTGGGATACTGAGCATCTGTCTCTTCTTTACCAGGTCCTGGGCAAAATGTGTGGTGGGAAACGGCGTCCTCTCATTACGGGGTCTGTAATCAATCAATAAAATATATTTTAAAAAAAAAAAGATGCTTTCCATTTTGCCTCGCATTACAATTATGCACGTACTTGTCTGCAACCTCCAGTTATATTTTAATTCTTGAGGATGATCTTTTCCACCTTCCCCTCCCCCCATTCATTCCACAAACATCTACTGAGCATCTGTCTCTTCTTTACCAGGTCCTGGGCAAAATGTGTGGTGGGAAACGGCGTCCTCTCATTACGGGGTCTGTAATCATTGGCTTCTCCATTTCTCTAAGTATATATTTATAAAAACTGGGTCAATCAATGTAAAATAATTCAATATCTTTTGCAGAAACAGTATAAATAACTTACACAAGAGCCTTGTGTGGGTAATCCTTAATCCCATGTGCAGGCCAGAAAAAAGCTGAGGCTCTGAATAACGAGGCCGCTTTCCCACAGAATAAGCCTATATTAGAAGTGGGGGAGCCTTTGCTGTTTCCCTGCTCCAGCCTCAGGGCGCAGCGGTTCTCTGCTGTCCCTTCTTCCCTCCATGCTGTACGGTGCTCGAGAAAAGCACAGCCTCCCATTTCCGATCCATCCTAAATAGGTAATGGTTTGTTTGAGAATGGGGTTTCTTTGACATTCCCCTGCCTTTCCTTTTGCACCTGGAAGAGTCCCCTCAGGTTGTCTGCCACAGGACATTTTTGCCAGGAAACTGTCACTGCCCCCTGGAGCCATCTGAATGCAGATGTGTGCTTATTAGAGATGACTCCACAGCCCTTAAAGACATCTGCACTCAACATGGGGACGAGGCATCACGGAATCGAGTTTGCCTCTGGATCCCGCCCCATCGGAGCTTCGGCATTAGTCAGGGTGATAACAGATGCTCTGATTACAAAGGCTGGAAGTCTACGGTGCCAAGAATGACTTTAGAGTGATCAGAGCAGAGGGCAAATCTAATTTCCTGTATCTGATAGAAAGAAGAAATTCCAGGCCGACTCACAGCCTCATCCATGGGAGCCTGAGTTCCTCTGAGCAAGGCCAGGGAACAGGGCTGAGCAAGGGAGGTGTGTGTCTCTACAAGGAGGTGCACCAGGTGACGGCCCTGGAGGGAGAGCGCCCCCCTCCTGGCGCCTGCTGCTCGCTGCGGGCATTTTTCACTTTTCCAGGCTGGAAGGGCTGCAGCCAGGCCTCGGAGCCTCTCTGAGGGGCCTTTAGTCGTACAAGACAGAGCGCGGCAGGAAGCCTGTCACACCCCTGGAGGTGCTCAAGTTCCAAAGCACACAGACTCCCTCTAGAACAGTGGTTCTCAACCTTCCTAATGCCGCGACCCTTTAATACAGTTCCTCATGTTGTGGTGACCCCCAACCATAAAATTATTTTCGTTGCTACTTCATAACTGTAATGTTGCTACTGTTATGAATCGTAATGTAAATATCTGATATGCAGGATGTATTTTCATTGTTACAAATTGACCATAATTAAAGCATAGTGATTAATCACAAAAACAATATGTAATTATATATGTGTTTTCCGATGGTCTTAGGCGACCCCTGTGAAAGGGTCATTCGACCCCCAAAGGGGTCTCGACCCACAGGTTGAGAACCGCTGCTCTAGAAGGAAGAGAAATGGAACTTTCCGGTAGCAGGTTTGTAAAGCTTTTGCAGAGACCTCTGCTCACAGATATAACGGATCAACCAGCCCCTCCATCTGCTGTGAAGGTGTCAGAAAGACGAATGGGTATGGCCAGGCAGACGTGACTGGACAGTGGTAAGATGTGATGGATGTGAAAAAAATCTTGCTCCTAAAGGAACAGAGCACGCAAAGTGCTCGCCCAGGGCCTTTAGGGAGGTGGCATTCTCCAGCACAGAGGACGCTGTGCATGGTCCTGTCCATTCACTGGGCTGCTGGAGACGTGAGAGTGAAACCCAACTGTGAACACATGTGTCACTAAAGATGGCTGTTGTCATTTCTAAGCAGAACTCACATTCCCCGGGAGTAGAATGACTATGAATCGGGGTTTAAAGCAATCCCGGCATTCTCACAGCACAGGCACTGGTACTGCCGTCTCTGAGTCTCTCCTGCCTCACACACACCCACAAGCACATGCATAATTTCCTTTTGTGCATTCATAAGTCAGAGAAAATTTCTTAGCTAACAATGGAGTCACAAGAAGAAGGGAATGAGCAATGAGCTCGGAGTCAGAAATCCCTACCACCCACCAGCTACATGAGCATCTTTGTGCCTCTCGGGTGTGAAATAAGGGAGCTGGGAATGACCTCGAAGGTCCCTTCCACCTGAGACACTGCAGAGCCGCGTTACACCACAGGCTGTCCTGAGCAACACTCACGGGTTAGCCTCTCACACATCTGAGAGCTTCATCTGTGTCCATGTGCAAAGCCCACGGGATGAAGAATCAATAGCCAGGCTCTTGGTCCCTTTCCTGGCCCTGATCATTCTCTATGGGCCTCTGTTTCTTCAACTTGTTTCTCAAGAGTATTCTAAGAATCAAGGGAATGTGTAGCTTTGGGTGGGAGCCAGGTAAGACGCATCTGAAGGAAAGCCTATCAGTGTCCAAAAGGGAACTAGGGTGCTCTTCCTCGGGCTGCCTGTAGAGCCCCTCGGCCCCCCAGCTAGAGCTGGGTTGGGAGGAGACAGGGTGAAGGCAATGGGGAGGGTGGATCCGTCCTCAGCTCCTCCTCCTCACCTGTAGAATGCACCCTTCCTAGAAACAAGGCATGCAGTGCACAGGTGTTGGGTTAGCCCGCAATCTGGGCAGCATCAGGCCATTTAAAAGTGTTGTTTTTCATTGTTTCTATTACAATAGTCCTCACTATGAGGTGAGGGAGATGCTAGACAAAAGAGGGCCTGCCCAGTTCTTAGATTTTAATCAAGTTTTTCTTTTATTCCTTCAAGACCAGCTGCCCTGCCTGTATGAGAAGAGAGGACTCCTCTAGAGACGAGGAGAGGCCATAGGCTTGAAGTGAGGCCTAGCGGGGCTGATTCATTCTCTGCCACCACTGTGACCTCTGGGCCAGCAACTTGATCTCACCCCTTCTCCTCACTGCCCCTCCCGGCCAACTCCTGCTTCCCCTTCCAGCTGGCTCCACGGTCACCTCCCCGGGAAGCCTTTCCTGACTCCCCAGAGGAGGCCCAGCAATGCCTCCCCACCTGACTCTTTCATAGCATCCATACCTGTCCAGTGGGGCAAGTCACAGTTGTGATCAAGTTTGTGCAGTTGTTCTGTTTGTCTCTCTGGAGCTGCACCCTGTCAGCTCCATCCTTAGACCCGAGAAGATCCCCTGGCATGTTGTGCTCAGTAAGTTTCTGCTGACATCTCTCTAAGTCTTAGTGGGCGCAACTCTTCTCCCCAGAATGAACAGACCCTTGCATGCCTTCAGCCATTCCACCCACATCACATCCAGTGCTGTTCCCACCCTTTTTCTGGCTGATTGTCTCTGTCCGTCACCGAACACCATACACTATGAAAGCAAACTCCAACTCATGGGAAGCATTTGGGTGCTAATAACAATGTCTGATGTACTTTGTGTCTTGATTCTGAAGCTGGGACCTGAAGTTGTGTTTGGGAATTCTACAGCAGGTCCTGTTAAAGGCAAGAGTCGGGACGCTTTTGTTGTCTGCAACCTCTTTCTGGCTCTCAGGGATTATGTCCTGGATGAGAGACAGGAGAGAGCTCTTGAATGTCCACCTGAGTATCAGCAAAAAACAACAGGTAAATGTGTCCTGTGACGACATCCCTTCCGAGTCCACTGACAGAGGTGACAGGTGTGATGTATCGAGACAGCAGGTGGCCGGGGTAAGGTTCACATGAGAGGGAAGGCTCGCAGGTTTGTCACGTCATCCATATCCACTCCCCCGCCTGCAGCCTCACGCAGTGTTCTGGCCTCTGTGGTTTTAATCCATTTTGATTAGCACCACGGGGGCGAAATCCATTGCTAGGTTCCTTCCAGGGTTTATGACTTGGGTCAGACCCTCTTAAAGGGGCAGGGTCCCTTCATACCAACTGCTTTCACCGGGGATGCTGTTTCAGAGCGATATCGAGCAGTTCCTTGGGCACAGGGGAAACGAATGGCCCTCAGAGGGCCCCCAGCAGGCAGCCAAGTGACAAAGGGTAAGGAGGCCAATCGTTTTCTCTCTACTTACTACACTGCCACTCAATCCCCATGGTTTATTTCCACGGTTTCCAAATGTGTTTAGCTGTGCAAATTTTGTTCAAGAAAAGCATACGTAAAGCCCCACTCTGCAAATACAAAGAGGCCCTGGTTAAAGAGATTGGGGTGTTGGAGTCCTGTCTGCTCCCATCCCCTCTCCCCTCCCCTAGAACCTTCGAGGGTTAGTTGCTCAATAACTAGATATTTAGCATATGCCTCGAACAAGCAGGCCCCTCTTCAGGGGCTGCAGAGGATACAAATACGAGCAAGAAACCTCACAAAGCTGGGAGTCTGGTTCCTACCATGGGACTGGAGAGAGGAAGTACTAGAGACGAGGGAACAAAGTGGCAGTGGAGGAAGCAGGAGAGAAGGAACACACCTAATCGTGGGGTGTGGCTGAGGCTGCCACTTGCCTAACCAATATCTTTTTTTCCCCATTTCTTCCTTTGTAATAGAAGCCCTGATTTCCAGCTAGGACCATGTTTGCTTGGAATGGAAACTCTATTTCCCAGCTTCCCTTGCAGCTCATAGCCATGTGACTAAATCCTGGCCAATGAGATGCAAGCAGAAGTGGAAACCTCAGTTCAGAGATGCCAGCACTGCCCTCTGTCCCCTGACCTTCCCCGCCCCCTTCCTTCATCTGGATGCTGAGAGTGTGTACGGCTGGCTAGCTCTTTCTGGTATCTGTGGTTCCATTTCGCACCCTGAAGGAAGCACTGAGTAAAAGGGATTTTTGGAGCATTAAAGAGTTAATGCGGCCACAAAGGGTAAATAATTTCACTTTCTGCGGTGTATCACAGAGGCTCACCAGGAATCTCAGCTGTTCATCCTGCAGCAGCTTTGCTCCAGGGTGGCTGGCGGCTGTGTGATTCTGAACAACCCACAGCCCTAGGGCGTCTGCTGACTATGAACATCTCTAATTTTCAGGGTATCAGGCAAAGTTCTCACTAATATTTCCAAGTTGCAAAAGAGACCTTCGATATTCAGGATACAGTTAGTGGTTTGCTTGGAATGGAAGGCAGTGGGAACTGGAGGGCTGTTTCTCTGACTTCCCCAAGACCCTGGGAGGCAGGAGTCCTGAGCGAGGGGGGCTCTCCTGGGTACAGCCGGGGCTCCGACAGAGAGGGCTTCCTCAGAGCTGGCCCTGCCTCTGGCAGATTACTCAGACAGCGGATCCGGGTCTAATTCCAGGAGAACAAAGGGTTGGTGGAGATCAAAATAAAGGACAGGAGGATGGTTGAAACTGGGGTGGGAGGACATCTCAGGACTCCACAAGAAAGAGGCAGCAAGGGACTTGGGGAGCTGAGCTCCCTTGAGACCCCTCTGACGGGCCCTGGGTCTCCCTGGTCCAGGGGGACCAGATGGACTGGGACGGGGCAGACAATTCTACAGCAAGTGACGGTTCTCTCCACCTAAATCGTGTCTTCCTCCTACTGCTTGAAATCCTACACTTAGGACACAGGGCCTGAGATGTCACCAACTAGAGGCAGCCTCTTAGGATTATGAGTCAACTCAATCAGGTGGTGTCCTGTGATCACCACCCTGAGCAAGTGGGAGTTGGGTTGAGGAGAAGAGGTTGAGAGGAGAGACATGTGAAGGGCAGAGGGACACAGGAATGAGGGTTTTGACAGCCAGAAGCAACATGAGGGCTCTGGGCACCATGGCAGCAGGGGGCAGGTACAGTGAATTTTGATTGAACACCTACTATATGCCAGATGTGACTCTAACTCTGGTGATAAACCTGGGAAATAAATGCTGCCCCCTTACTTTAAGACATTGGTTTGTGCCAGATCTTGTTCCCTTCTCTTGTTCTTAGAGATCAGATGGAACAGCATCTCTCCCTTTTGGAATCTTCTTCCTGGCCAATGGCCCTGAGTGACAGTGCTGGGGAGTGGCCTACAGGTGCCTCTACATTTGGCCAAAGCCCCCATCCTGGCTGAGGGGGTCTATGCTGTGCCCTCAGGACTGCCTCCCCCTTAAGGGGCCCCTGCTTCCCTCTCCATCCTCAGCCAGCAGAGGCTCGTCTGGGATGGGTGAGCTCACTGAGAGGAGTACACGGAGGACCTTGGATCACACAAAGTGCTAATTGCTGTGGCTTCTCAGGGCTGCTGGCGGAGAGAGCCAAGGCTCAGGACAGAAACGTGGCTTGCTAAGGAAGACCGCCAGCCCCTGGGAGGCTTAGAGGAGCAGGATGAAGACTCTGCCTCCTTGGCCTAGGCCTCCTTTCTCAGCAGTTCTCAGCCCCTGAGTTGATGAGCTGTGCTCTGTGGAGGGGTATGTTCATGTGATCTGCAACTACTAACATTTACTGAGTTCTTACTTTGTCCTAGGCTTTGTACTAAATACACACATGAACTTATCTAGTATTTAATCCTCCCAACAAACCTAGGAGGTAGGTGCTATTATTATTACTCCAATTTCACAGGTGAGGAAACTGAGGCACAGAGCTCAGACTTGCAAACGGTCAGACTTGCTAGAGAGAAAGTGGCAGATCCAGGGTTCTAGCCAGGTCATCCGGCTCCCAGTCCATGCGATTATCCACTGTGCTCTATAGCTTCTGGAGTTTGAAATGATTTTTTTTTAAAAGCACACACACACACAATTAGAATGGACACTAAGCTATCCCTAGAATGACAGCACTTTTGTACTTCACATCCCAACAAGCAACCTGTAACAGGTGAGACAGAAGTGGTGTCACAACCAGTGCTGTGGGCATTTGGCTAAACTCTGGTTCTGCCCATCTACCAATTTGAAGCCACCGGTGTCACCCACTACACAAGACAAAACTCTTTACTAACACAAGACAAAACTCTTTACTAACATCTGGTTCCTGGCACAGAGCTAGTCCACGCCTCTCAGACCCCCTTAGAGGGACGTGTGGCCAAATGGCCAGCTCCTGCCAAAGACGTGGGAGCGGGAGGGATGCGACCAGCCCAGGCTCCACCTGCTCCTGCCCTCTCCGCCGCTGGGTGCTTGGGGCTCGGAGGCCTGGGGGTAGCAGAGCCACAAACAGAGCCTGGGCCCCTAGGGATGCACCCACCAACCAGGAACACCCACCTTAGTCTCTTGAACAAAAAATAAACTTCCATGGTACTTGAGCCACCGTAATTTTGGAGTCTGCTAACTCCTACTGCCTCGCCTACTCTCTAATGCATCATTTCCTGTGCTTATCGTCACAGCCTGACCTCAGCTGTGTTCAAGAACGACAGACATTCATGAGGGACTTAAGGAAACTTCTGATTTCCCAGTGTCCCCACGTTCAAACAGCCAGGGTCCCCTCCTCCCCCACCTGCCGTGGTCCCACCCGGCCCAGGAGGGAAGTCACAGGGGGGCTGTGCATGCATTACGTTACCACATCTGTTTCCTTCCAGAGAGGTCCCATTCCTCTTGGGGCTGCAGCCTGGGGGCCTCAGCCCTGGCGCCGAGGGGCCTCCGGAGGACAGGGGGCTGGTGCGGGGGCCGCCGGCGGCGGGACCGCCCCCAAGGGGGCCATCTCCGGAGTTCTGCCTCTTGCAGTACAGCGCGGAGGCGGGGGGCACGGAGCCCCGGTGGCTGAAGGCGGGGCCGGAGGGGTCCAGGCTGTAGCGGCTCATGCCCGCAGCGGTCGCCAGGCGGCACTCTGCGGTGGCGAAGGTCTTGGCTAAGCGGAAAGCAGGGAGAGAGGCGGCGATCAGAGAGCGGTTCCAGGGAGCCTGGCCTCAGTCTTGGCGAACCATCCCCAGCAGCAGGGCCGCCGCCTGTGAGCACAGGAGATGAGGAATGGCCCCTCGGCATAATCCCAGGTAGCTCACCTCCCAGCAGAAGCGCCCGCCTCACCAACAAAGCATATTATCCTCGGGACGGGGAGGTGTGTCCTCGGGGAAAGTAACGATCTTGGTGATTGATGACTTGGAAATAAGATTCAAACAAAAGTCTTACCTCCCCCCTTCCCCCGCCATGGCCCGGCCCCTCTGGCGGTGTCCCGGGCACGTCTGAATCCCCCTGCGCTCTCTTCTCTGGCCCGCCATCACCGCCCCTCACCTGGCAATGCTGGGAAACCGGACCCCTCATATGCTGCGGGTGGGAATGTAAAATGGTGTAGGCTCTTTGGAAAACAGTCTGGCTCTTCCGCAAATGGTTAAAATAGAGCTATCATATGACCCCGCAATTGCACTCCTAGATATATACCAAGAGAAATATTCACACAAAAATCTGTGCATGAATGTTTACAGAAAAGTATTGATACTAGCCAAAACAGACCAAATGGCTATCAACCGATGCCTGATTAAACAAAATGTGGTATATCCACACAACCAAATATTACTCAGGCATACAAAGAAACGAAGGACTGATATAGCTACAGTGGATGAGTCCTAAAACATTATGCTACATGAAAGAAGCCAGCCACATAAGACTGCATATTAGTGGTGCCACTTCTATGAAATGTCCAGGATAGGAACATTTATAGAGACAAAAAGCGGATTAGTGGTCGCCTTGAGCATGGAGGTTGAGGGGATAGAGGATGTTAGCTAAAGGTATGTGGTTTTTGAAGTATTGAAAATGTCCTACAATTGGGGTGGCGGCTGCATACATCTGCGAATATACTAAGAACCATTGAGTTGAACACTAAATAGGTGAATTGTATGATATACGAATTACATCTCAATAAAGCTGTTTTTAAAAGTCATTGCAGAAGTCCAGTGTCAGGTGTGAACACGTTCTTGAGAGTGTTGTACAATCAAGTCCGACAAACACTTTGGCTGCTAGGACATGAGTGAGCAGCCTAAGGGTGTGTGTGCCCTGTGTCTTACCCTTTGTGGCTAATGGAGGGCTGCAAGGTGTCTTCAGAAACCTAGAACTCGGCACCTTCGCCTTGATGGATTATATTGCATCTCTTCCCTCTGGGTCAGAAGGCATCAGTAGGAAGATTCTAAAAGGGACCAGGCTACAGAGCTATGTATGAGCCTGCTTCATGAATGGAGTGAGAAGGAGAAATACTAAACATTTATTGAGCACCTACTCTGAGCCAGCATCATTTTAAGCCAGTGAGTGGTAAAACTGTCATTATATTCTCTTTACAAGCGAGTTCTCATCGTCTGGGACACTAGTCCTTTCTGTGTCCCCAGGGGCAGATGCCCTGATGTACCTGCGGAAGCAGCTCCCAGTGCTTGGCATCCAGAAGGCACTCAATAAATATCTGTTGAGTAGGCATTTGGGCCAGTTTAGCAGGATATGTATTAAAATTCAGACGATAAAGGATTAAATATAAATTCTTCATGTAAATGAATGATAAATAATGAAAAAGAAATTGAACTGAAACATTCTATTTATTCAATATTTTAAATCCAAATTAAATATATCTATGGAATTCTGATAGTCTAAAGTAAAGAATGACATAATTCACCAATCTGCACTATAGTTGGAAAACACAGGTGCAGATGGAAAATTGTTCTCCTATGACAATGTGTGGAAATGGGAAACAAGGGAACAGATGTGATTGGTTTAGAAACCATGGATGAGATCAAAGGGCCACGATCCAAATGAATTCATTAGAAAGCCAAACCGACACGAGAGAGCATCAAGCACTAGCCCTCTCCTCAGCAAAGGCTGAGCCAGTGATTCTGAAGTCAGCTGGTGGGCAACCATGGAGACACCACCAAGCCCCAGCCATGGCTCTGGGAGTGAACATCAAGGTCAGGTGCACACACCAGGGTGCCCTTCAGAACCGATGAGGTGCATTTGCTCAAACCCAATGAAAACAGCCTTCCTCACCTTTATTAATAGGGCGCTGATGCTTACACGGTACCTGACTGATACAATGAAGGCCATCATCCAACCACGGGACTGCAAAGGACCTTCACAGAACACCCAGCCCAGCACGTCCCTAAGTATTACATGTGTCCCTCTGGTGGGACAGGGGATGAGTTTAGGTGGGACTTTGGTGTATTAGTTTCCTAAGGCTGCAGAAATTACCAGTGACTTGGTGGTTTAAAACAACAGAAATGTATTCTCTCACAGTTCTGGAGGCTAGAAGCCTAAAATCAAAGTGTCAGCAGGGCCAGGCTCTCTCCAAAAGCTTCAGGGGAGGGTCCTTCCTTCTCTCTTCTAGCTATTCAAAACCTTTACACTGTTCAAGCCGTGAAGGCATCCCCCATAGAGGTAGATGAATTACAGGTACGCAGGACTTCTAGTAGCTTAAAAATTTAATAAAGTGGGACATATGGATTGTTTGTTACCTAAAACTACTATTTAAGCTGGGGAAAAGAAGCACCAAATCTATACTTGGAGAGAGAACTACACTTTTCAAGCGGTTTTGTGGCTGACTGGTGAGTGAACAGCAGATGGGGCCAGCAGACCTGGGATCATCCAGCCCGAGTGCCCAGCCACTGCACACAGACTCGGGCAGATGACGTTCATGGTCCTTGTCTCCTGGGTTCTTAGAAAGTCCCTTCTCATCTGAAATGAGCTGTCTTGTTACCCTGGCACCTCTCATTAAACAAGAGGAGACCACCAGCTCAGCAAAGCAGGGCCAACAAAAGGTGTTTTATGCACTTCCCTTCTATCACCCCCTCCTCTGTCCTAGAGACTAAGGATGCTGCGTGTAAGTCATTAAATCTTTCCTCCAGAAAAAGGAATAATCAGCTTTTGTCTGACACACAAGCCTGCCTACATGGACAAGCAAATGCACAATGCACGTTCAAAGAAGCCTGCCACCTTTTCAGGGTTTAGTGTTGGAACTTCCATTGCTAATCTGTGGAGCACGGTTTCCCCCAGCCACTGTCTATGAAGCCTGTCTAGAGTGAGGCTACTGAACACTCTAGAAGAGCTCAAACCCACTCAAGCCTCAAGCGATACCTGCTTGCTTCTGAACCTGACGCGTGTCTAAGCCTCTCTGTTGGGGGAGCAAACTCCAGGGTCAGGAGTGCGTGGACTCCCCCTCTTCCCCCTCCCCCACAGAGGCCTCTGCAGAGGCTTCCAGGACGCCTGGTGCAGCCCATTCCTGCTGTCCTGATGGAGAGTCAGGCGTGGCACCCAGAGAACCTCCAAAGAAGAGCAGAAGAGGTAGATGGACAAGAAGAAGAAACCAAGAGCCAGAGAGAGAGAGAAAGTCCCAAAGCGGCAGGAGCAGCACAGAGGGAAAAGGGGTCCCCGCATATAACACCACAGACACTCCTGACCGAATGTCAGTTCAGCTGGCGGTGACCCTTGTCATTTAGAACCCGAGACCTAACGTCTCACAGTTAAGTGAACTTGGACTTGAAAAATTAAACTGGCCCTTTACTTGGATTCTCTAACCAAATGAAGCCCTGAAGAGCAAAATACCTCCATCTGCAAAATTATTCTTCAATAATACCTATTCATGCAACAATAACCACCAATTCCAGAGCTTTAGACACTATTTTCGTACAGATCTCTTCGTCTCTCTCGTGCTCTCTCTCTCTCTCTCTGTCTCTCTCCCCACACACCCACACACACAACACATACACACACCCCCACACACACCCTTCTCTCCCCACCTTATCTCCCCACATGGGTCATAACCTCCCATTTGCAGGAGCAGCTGCACAGGCTGCACCCTTTCTACCATCGTCACTGCCGCCTTCCCCAGGCTGAGCAGGTGCCTTCTTGGGATCAGTTGCCAGCAGGTCTGCCCAGCCCAGCAGACCACACAGCCCTGCCCAGGTTGGCAAGAAGGTCAACCCCCCCCACCCCCCCCCCGCCCCACCCCCCGGGGCCGTGTCCAGAGGGCTCCATGTGTGAACAGCTGGGCCGGGCTGCTTGAGAGAGTGCCGCACCACAGACCTCTAGCCCGCAGACCCAGATTAGAAAAGCAAGTACTACAGCCAGCCTGATAACACTGCCACTCGAGCAGCTGGGAGTAACTTCCCCAGCTTCTCCTGGTGCCACCACCTGAGGAGCACGGCAGGAAGCTCTGAAATGCAAAGAAAGAGACCTGTGAGGAGAGACGCAGAAAGAGGAAGGGGCAGGAGGGAGAGGCCCCAGGGAACAGCAGCCAGTCCCCAGCAGAGCTGCGCCTCCCTGCTCCGATCAGGGACACGGGGCATTGTCTCCTACCTTGGGTGACTCTGCCACCGGGCAGCCACACACGCTCCTCTGGGCGCCCGCGGTGCCCGCACCTGCTCCCGCTGCCGTGGGAGGCAGAGAGACCTCCCTCCCAGGGCTTCCTGTGGCAGAGACAGCAGCTTCCCTCCAGCCCCTAGCCGCTCTCAGGAGGCTCTGCTGGAGGTTTGCAGATTTCCTTCTCTCGGGCAGTCCCGCCCCTTGTTCTGGCTCAGATAAGCTGTGGTGTTTTCCCTGAGGGCCCTCGGTGGCCTCTGTCCCAGCCTTCCCGGTTCAAAGGGCACCAGGCCACACCACCTATGAGGCTCAGCATTTCATTTGCTTCAATTACATTTCCCCTTCACTTGGTCTCTGGACAGTATAGATTTTCTCTTTAAGCTTGTCTCTAGGTTCAGGTCCCTCAGCCCTCAGCCCTCAGAATGAACCTATGACTCCCCTCTGGTCCATTTACATACGTTTATATCCTTTCTCCCCTAATGAGGTGCACAGAAGCCAACCATAATTTTAATGCCTGACACCTAAACTTCTTTACTCCTCCTCAATGGTTCTGGTTAATCTACCCAATATTTCTGGTTTGCC